TGGGATGATTGGGGAAGGCACTGAAGTCCTCCGGAGTCAGTGCTGCATGTGTAAGCTGTTAGGACAGGGACAGGCTTCTGATGCACAAACATCCGTGGCCCTGACCTGCCCATCCCCCCTCCCCAGCTCGGCGCTGTCCTTCACCTGCGTGTGGTACTCTGTGATCGTCACAGCGGGCATGGCCTACATCTTCCTGATCCAGCTGATAAACATCAGCTACAACGTGACTGAGAGGGAAGTGCAGCAGGCCCTTCGACAGAAGACGGGGCGTCGGCTCCTGTGTGGGCTCATTGTGGACACAGGCCAGTACAATCGGGGCTTCCTGCGGAACTGGCACCAGTTCTCCACCCTGGGCACTCACCCGCTCCGTGACCCTGCCGAGGACATCGTCTGAAGTGCCTTCTGGGCAGCTCCCTCTGTGTCCTTCCATCGTGCACTTCTCCGTCCGCACAGGGTGTTCATTTTTATCCCTCGTCTCTTGAAGGCATTATAGGGCCACGCTCAGGTTTAGAGACTGGACTGGAGAAATGAATTTTTCTGACTTCACAACTTAAGAGATTTTTGTTGAAGCAGTACAAGTAGAGCCATTCCTTTCCAGCCACCTCGTTAAAAGCTCAGTCACAAGAAGTTGAAATGGATGTGGATTGCTAATGCACAAACTGACTGAAGCAATTCCCATCCCTTACTATGGGAAAAAGACTTTTGGATTAGGATAGTTTCTAGTCCCTCTTTTAATTCCCAATAGCCATGTGACCCTTGGTTGAGTCACTTCCCCGAGTCTCAGGTTCATCTGTTGCGTGGGGTGCCGGGGCCTGCCCTGGCGGCCTCGCAGAGCGGTCACGGGGGGCATGGGAGGGATGAGGTGTGTGGAAAGCACTGAAAAATAGTGAAAGCACCACAGAGGTATGAAGCATTATTAGGGAAATCTCAAGACTGAAAAAAAAATCGTTTGTAGGTCAGAATATTGAAGCCAATGTTATTAGAGTAATCTCTTTCCAGCATTTCAGAGTGGAAAAAAGATCCACGCATACCATGTTGTACAGTTACGGGAATTTCTTTTTTGGAAGTATTAGACATTAACTACTCAAACGCGGTAGGAGATGACCAGATGGATTCACACTGTCGCCTGATCTTGAAAGCAGAGTGGATACCGGTTATAATTACCGCTGGTATAATGTACAGTGGTCATGAGTTTAGGTGATGAGTTTTTATGTTTTCTTCTTAGGTGGTGGTGTTTAGATTTACTCTGAATAACTCCAGTGGGCATTGATGTTTTTGCCTCTTTCCATGTCTCACCTGGTAAGGTGGTAGCCACACTTGTGACGATGGCTGGAAGAGGAAAACAGACACCCCTACAGGGAACGCTGCTCTCTTTCCTGAGTAGCGGGTGCTGGTTAGTATCAAGGGCTTGATTTTTTTTGGTTCATGTAAGTTGATTCAAACATTGTCAGCTATAGTACTAAGTTGCAATAATCCATGTCTAGTATTTGCATTATTCTGGCATGGACTCTGTTTGAGGGGTTGATTGACATCTTCCCTCTTACTTTGCACACTACTTTTCACTCACCTTTCCCTAGATCTCACCAGGAGAGAAAAAACAGGGTAATACGTGTGGTTTCCAGTAATTAATGGATTGCTGTTCTTCCCTAGTTCTTCCTAAAATACAAAGTTGTTTCTTTAATCATATCTCAAAACTAAAAATTTATAAATAATTAAATATTTACATATAATGGATGTGTTCTGCCATAGAATTCAGATGAGGCAATTTCAGATGGGGAAAAAACCCTCTTGGTTTTGCACGTGTATCCTTTTAATTGAATTTATTGGGGTGACATTGGTTAATACAATTATATAGGGTTCAGGTCTGATGGGTGTACAGGTCTGTAACCCATCATCTGGATGTTGTGTTGTGTGTTCACCATGCCACGTCTTTTTCTTTTTCTCTTTTCAATCCCTACAGCAATTCATGGTCCTTAAATTTGCCTTGGCTTATAGCTTAATATAGAGACAACACTGCCAGGTTTTTCCGGCTCTCTGTGCACACTGCTGCAATGGGAGGTTTATAAATGTTGAGAGGGAATAGTGCTACTGCCTGCCACACTACCCTGTGCAGCTCGCGCCGAGTCCTGCCGTTAACAGCAGCTGTCCTTAAGACAGCTTGTCTTGCTCTCCCCAGAGATGGTTTAACACACGATAGGCTGTGTGCCCCTGGGGTGAGCCAAACAGCACGTCCAGGGGTGTTGGCTGAGGCTGTGGTTTCTCCACTGAGGCATTCATTCTCCCTGGCCCAGAGTCACGCACTCATTTGGAATTAACGTTGGATCTGATATAACTAACTCCCTTCTGTGTAGGTTTGCAAGAAGAGAGACAGTAATAATGTCAAGGACAATATGTGGCCAGAAATCTCTAGCTGTAGTCTCTTGAATACCAGACATGTACCAATTCTGTCTGACAACTGATAATAACATTCATAGAAACGTTAGTGTAGTCAGTAATTGTAGCCTCTTGTCAAATCTTTAAAAACAATCAAAATATGACATGATGAAGATGAATCCCACCAGAAAGACCAGTCATTTGAGAGAATGGGAATGTCGTCTACTTTAAAGCCCATAATAGCGTCACCTGGACCTGGTGACTCGTCCCTCTCTTGGTTAAGGACTCCTCATATTATTCTGGCGTACTGGAATTCAGAGGCTTATTTTTAGTTCCTTGAGGATGTCACGGTTGGACCTTTGAAAATCTCGGTGGTTTTGTTGGGGGTAAAAGTGTACTGAAGTATTTGCACCAAATGGCGAGCAAACAAGCAGCTCTCCGTGAGAAGTGCTCTGTAGGCTCCGGGACACCCTTGGCCCGCACTCCGAGACTTTTGAGCTTTTTATGCTCTGAAACCATCAGAGGGGCCATGTCCTCTAAAGGACAAAGCCTCTGTGAGCCAGTGAGCCCCAGAGAAACATGTGGTGGTGGCCACGGGGAGCTGTCCTGCAAACTCCACCCCAGCGTCTCTGGTCCCTACGAAAGAGCACGCTACCCACATAATTCCAGATAAGTGGGTCCCCTTCTCTCCCCCCATAGACTTGGCCTCTGTTTCTAAACATACTGGATGTGGAGTTTAGTAAATGATCAACTGTATTCTAATCAGCATTGCTGTCTTACCGGGCATGCTGTTCCTGGGAAAGAGAAATGGGTCTGTTTGTGAGATGCAGTGGAGAAATAGTTAAAGATCAGAATTGCATGAAGGGAGAAAATCCTCCAATGTTTAAAATGTTTCTTTTGACACCCACGACTATTCTGTGGTTAGAGCTGGGCCCACCTGACTGGAGCTGATCATAACAAGGGCTCTTTGCTGGGTTTCTCTGATGCTGCTCAAGTCGAGCTGTAAGTGTGTTTCAGGGACACTGTGCTGCTTGTGTCACCTCAGCCACCTGTGTGTCTGTGAGTAGGACACTGTGAATCTGTGCCATCCAAGCAGCGTTTTCCTTTGGTGAATGAAGCGATTGTTGTCTTCCACTGTACCATCTGCCTAGCAGAAAGACTGCTACAGACTTTCTCTCATGCAGTAGTCCTTGGGACTTTGAATATTTTTAGCAAGAGAAAATTTTCCACACCAGAATTTTCTACTGCCAGAAAACACAGGTTCTTTGTAATACTCGCAATCTGCTCAATAGACCAAATTTCTATTGGGTAGGACATTAGATTTTTATTGTAAAACTCAACTAATGTAAGCAAAAATATGACATAGAAGCAGAAGCAGCTTTAACAAGGATGTTTAAAAATTAATCGTTTGGCCCTGGCTGCCGTGGCTCAGTGGATTGAGTGCCAAACTGTGAACCAGAGGTTTGTCGGTTCGATTCCCAGTCAGGGCACGTGCCTGTGTTGTCGCCAGGTCCCCAGTAGGGGGTGTGCAAGAGGCAACCACACATTGATAATTCTCTCCCTCTGTTTCTCCCTCCCTTCCCCTCTAAACATAAGTGAAATCTTAAAAAAAAAAAAAAAAACTAAACTAAAAATTAATGTTTTGTCAGATCGAAGGGTCTCTTTAAACTAGGTAAGCAGGTTTATATGACTTGACTTTATTTTAACCATATTTTGGTCCCCTGAATTTTAAAAGAGAATTTCCTCACATACACAGTGGATGAGAGAAACTTTTGCTTGAGGCACCTGTTTGGAATCTGGTTTTCTCATCAGCAGCTTGACAGGTGCACCATGTTGTATTAAACATTGCAAAGGTCATGCAGAGGGAGAAGGAGAGCTGGGCTTAACTTAGTGCTGAATAAAATCCAGTACGTCATTGTACATATTTGCTGTGACTCATATAAACTTGTCAAATCAGCTAAATTTGATCCTGTTGCTAATGGCCAGTTCTCCCTACTCCAGTTGGCACTGAGTGTTTCACTGTAGTATTAGCCGCCAGCCACAGACTGAATGCTCAATGAAGACAGAGTTCCTGGAGGTCGTGGCTATTTCCAGGTTGGGCTTGTGACTTACTACTGCTCTAAGCTTCCATATGGCACTTTCCCCTTCCAGAAAATTCATCTTTAAAGGCACAGCTTTAAAACCAGATCTATTCTAGTTATTGATGCAACTCAAATCCTGAATTTTTTTCAGATGGCGTCACTGACAAGATGCCATGTTAGGAACTTGCAAGAAGCTCAACTCGATCCTGTGGTCTGGGTGATTGGATGGCTGGAGTTGTTAGGGCTTTTGAGCTTTTTCATTTGATTAGGTTTCTGGGCCTGATATTATCAACTAATGGAAACCCAGGAATGTTTATTTAACACTGAATTGAATATTTAATGTAACTGGCCCAGCAACATTGCAGGGGATTTCTGAAGCCAACTGCAAAAGCTTAGGCTAAACATTTTGCACTGTTTTTATACTTGTATACATAACGTCTTATCACCTCAGACTCAGACACAAGGCCTTTCAAATGGAGAGTTAAAAAAAATTACTGCCATTTATGTAAAACAATGTACTGTGACCAAGTTATTTAAATGGAAAATAAAGTGCTTTCTTCAATGAAACTACTTGGTGTTTCTTGGTGTGTCTCCTGAACGCCTTTGCTTTCAGAAAAGCTTGTGTTGTAGCTGGGCCCCTCTCTCTGGCCCCTGGAGGTCCCCAGCCTGTGCACCTAAAACTCATTTCCTGGTGATGACTTTTCCAGTTTTGCAGGCCAGATACTGCTTATTGGGCATTTTGTTAGCAGTGACATTTCAAATCGTATCTTTAAGATAGCCCAGCAAGAAAGAGGTCACTTACTAAGTTTTTTCCTTATGTCTCTTTAGAAGGTTCTGTAAGTAGGTTAAAAAGTTCTCACTGGTTCAATCAATATGGGCTGCTTAAAGACTCAATTTCTAAATGATGCTTGAGGTGAATTAAGAGAAAACTTAAGGTTTATGAGTCTTGGTACTAAAATAAAATTGGTATTGGAGTTCTGGGTGCTAATATCAGCCAATATTCCATAACTGTACTATATACAATTAAGTATAAACAGTGGGTTAGATGGAAAGATTAAAGAGTTACTTTTAGTCCCATTTTCTTCAGTGGCTGTTAGTCTTAAAAAGAGTTCTTAGATGACAACTGTATAATCATATTAAAGGAAAAGGTGTGGGGATAGGGATATTGCAGAGGAAATAAAGTTCAATGTAGGGTATTTTGTCATATCTGAGTAAATCACACATCTTACCTAGAAAAAAGGACAGAAGTCATCTTGCTGGTGGTATAGCTAGACATCCCTTCTAGCAAATAAGAGACAAGAACAGAATTTACTGAACACAGAATTTATCAACTCATATTTTCAATTTACTAAATAATAGTGGCCTCAGGGCTGCAAGGGACTTTCTCATTTTACTGTGTGCATTTATCTACAACTTGAAATTGTTGGAATAAATGTGTTTTGCAATGAAAATTTTTTTCAAGCAGATGATTCAGTTCACAGAAGGGAATGTCTTTACAGTGTTTAGCATCTTAAAGATTAAAACATTCTTTGAATTCAAGATAAATATCTTGACAGGCAGATTAAGCTGAGCTGAGGTCTAGGCCAGATCAAGTATTATTTAGAAGTTGGAACTGGGGGTACGAACAGACAGTTTAACAAATCGCTGGCCTTCTCTTGCTGCTTATTAGGTACGTAGAAAAGCAGTTTTTTGGTGCCCCAATTTCTCTGAAATTAGGAGACACTGTTACCCTTGCAGCAGCCGCATAGAGTGCCTTTTGATACGCAGTTTTCCATTGGGGTGGGCAAAAAGGATGGAGGCTGGCAGAATGCCTGTTGCTGATCCGAAGGTATTAGGTGCCTGACCGTGTATGACTCCTTTTCTATATACTCACTACTTTCAATTTCTATTAATTAAAATTACATTTGTCAATGAGACATGTTAAACTATAAGGACACATTTTCCCCCACAAACTCAGGCAAGCCAACAGCCGTCCTTTGTAAAGTTTATGATGCTAAAAATATATACGATGCATTTGAACAGTAGAATAGGAACAGTTCCTTTGGATGATCCTGCTGTGATAAATGCTTTAGTGAACTGATTAGCAGCCCAAGAGAAATAAAAGAAGGAAGTGCAAATTCAAAAATAATCCCTGTGGTCCAAGCGTATCTGATAGAACAATAAGCAGCTAGATGCGTGTGTATGTGCGTGGGTGGGAGTGACAGGATGTGCCGTGGACCGATGGACACTCTGTCCTCAGTGTGCAGGCTGGTGCTCCCCACACCAAGGACCCCGACACGAGTGCTGTGTGCGTGCCAGCACGGCCAGGAGTCACCGCAGGGCCGGCACCTGGAAGTCGGGCAGAATTTCGGCTACCTTCTTACGGAGTTGCTGTCGCCTTTCTTCTCTTACTCTTTCTTCTTTCATGAATTGTACAAACTTCTCCCATGTCTGAAGTGTGATCCAGAGAATCCTCCTTTAAGAGTAAGAAGGACAAAATGTGAAATACTAAGGAAAAGTTGACTTTCCACATTAAAAACCTTATAATAATAATCCTTATGCATATAAAACATAAAAAAGGTATGGAAATCACCACTGGAATTCAGACTGAGAAGTGCTGTAAAGGAAATAAAACTAAGGGACTGAACAGTAATGGAAAAAGACCCAATAAAAAAAAAAGCCCCCACAAAGTGGGTGGGAGGCGCTGACGGTCACAGGAGGTCAGGGAAACCAGCCAGGGGAAGGTGACACCTCCCTGCAGACAGGGCAGTCTTCACACTGCAGAACGTGGAGGCGTCTGCCCTCCATGCTGCGCTCAACAGGCAATGACACCCAATCACCAAAAACGGACAAATCATGTGTCTACTGTCAAAGGAAGTGCATAATATAGTTTAGAGCATTTCTATCCAAAACACTTAAAATTTCAAAATAAAGGAAAGTATATCAAATGACCTTAACCCCCAGGGAATAAAGAATACATACATTTGCTTAATTTCTTTCATGCACTGCACATCATTTTATTCTCGTATCAATCTGTGGAGCAGAGAAGGGGGCATCCTCCTCCTTTTCAAGATGGGGACCTGGAGTCCCTCGTAGTCAGGAGCTGAGCTGGAGTTCCCGTCTCCGCCTGGTGTCTCAATGCCCGGCTCTCCCAGCCTCCACCTCATCTTTTCAGACACGTTCCAGGCATAGAATGTGTCGCAGCGTGATTGTGAAGTCAATGAGTGAATTTCCTCAGAGATCAAAACCTCACCTGTCACTATGCTCTGCCGCAATCTTGTGCTTGCTCTGCGAATCAATCTTCGCCTCCCTGACCATGTTAAACCAGGCCCCGAAAATCTTCTTTTGCAGAAAATGTGTGCACAGTTTTTGTATTTCTTCTTCCAGGTCAGTCAGGTACTGGGGACGAGGAAAGGAACAGAAGTGAGTCAAATAGTGTCACAAAGAATTAGGGCATATAAATAGTACAAAAGAGAAAGGACTGAACAAACACAAAACAAAGGACACTGGAGGCATAAAGAAAGAACATGGCCGCCAAAAAGAATACCCTCCGTCATCTTTACAGAAATAATAATGGAGCTAGAGGGGCAGAAACAGTTACAAGATTGAGGGGGTGGGTTTCTCATAAAATCACTTGAGCAATTATGGGATAAGAAATGAGTATAAAATCAAAAGCTGATATAATGACACATTATAATTTATAAACACTATAGAAAAACATGCTTAAGATTTTCTAGTAACAAAACCCTCAAAATTGCACATTCATTTCAAGGCAGTGATTTGGATTGACTATTTTACATTGTTCTTGAAAAAACACGACTGCACATTCTGGGTTGCATCTGATTTCCTGACACAGCGTTGAGGAGAGACGTGTATTGCAAGTGCCCTTCCCTGCGGCCTTACCTGCAGCCAGCTCCGGATGACTCTCCTAAGCAAGGTCTGTGCATGAAACTGAGTGGCCTGGGCCGTCTTCTTCACCAGGCTTTCCTGACTAAGCTGCAACCAGGCGAGCAGACATTTCCTCTGTAGGGCCAAAGAGTGATGTTCTTTGGCCACCTGGACAATTTTTTAAATAAGAAAAGGAAATTATTCCTTTTATCTTAAATTACTTAAGGAAACAGAGTCCCTTGGAAAATGATGCTACAAACCACATCCAGGCAGTTACTAGAAAGAATAATCTATGTCCCCAAAGCATTAACTACTGACCCTATTTTATGGGGGTTCAGATTCATCTCGCGTGCAGCCTTTCAGTGCCGACTCCCTGAAGACCACAGCGACTGGCTGGTTATTAGGAAACCGGAATAAACAACCGGCAAAGCCAGCATTTCACTTGCACCAAGTTTTGAAGAGGGTGGCTGGCAACGTTTTCTGTTTGGATGGAGCTTAGACAGCAGCTCCATAACAAACCTCTCTTTTTTATGTGCTTACTTAACCACTGTCTAATTGAGGGAACACGAATACTTTCAAATTAGTTCTGTAGAATGAGCTGTCACCAGTGCTGAAATTTAGACATTATCAATAAACCACAAAACCATTTGATAGAAAAATAACATGATGAATAATTTAATATCTTACCAACTTAAAAGGCTCAAAGCATCATTCTATAAAAGTAATAATATAACTCAGAGTTCATAGATTTTAAAAAGTAACATATTCTTTCAAGAGGCAGGAGGAAGAAACCCTTCCCTCTTGGTGCTTTCCAATCACACACTCTTCCAGGCCTTGCCTGGCCACCCAGCACTGTGAATGTGACCGACGGGAGCGACTCCCTCGGCAGTCACACTCCTTGGTCAAAACGACCATCCCAGGAGGTCTCTGTGGCACCCGAGACGGCTGCAGGTCCTGACCCCTCACAGTCTGGGAGCTGAAAGGCAAGGCCAGCCAGAAACACACAGCCTCCTCTCTACCCTCCTCCTCATCCTCTGGGAAAACAACCAGAAAGGGAAAAAAAGATTCTCAGAAGGTTTCTTAAAAGTTCTGAAAGTGGTTGCTGGATTAAATGGAACACAGCGTTGAGGAGGAGAAAATACAGAGATGTTCTGAATTACATTACAGTGGCCGGAAAGTGAGAGAAAGACGGAACTGCAGTCTGTTAATGACGGCTCACGTTCCTTCTGTTGCCTGCTGGAACTTCAGCTTCATTTCTCGGTGGCTATTTCCACAGACTATTTGAGCCGGGCCCCATCTGACTACGGCAGCCTCAGCTTGTCTACACGTGTGCTTTCCAGACTGCTGCCCACAGCCACGCCACAGGAGTGAATGCTTCTGGGTGCCGCTCCTGCTTTACCGTCTCCGACCCCTTGGCCTACATGCAGCTAATGAAAATTCTTTCAGACTACCCCCTCTTCCCCTCCCTCCTACTTGATGTACAAAAACGCTGGTGAAACTCTGGGACCATGGACACGCTGTCCTTTTCCATCTGGTCAGGCTGGTGACTTAGACTCTATACCCCAAGACCCATCTTCTTAGGGCTAGCACTTGGATCAATAAAACCTTACTCAGAAAAGAGTTCAGTCATGGAAGTTAATTTTGCTTGTTTGTTTAACACGCACATGTGAGTTTAAGGGAAAATTCCTACAAAATCCTTCTGAAGAAAGTGTCAGAAACAACCCGGGAATAGTTTAACTGGACCTTTCTCCTTTCTTAATTTTTTTTTTGTCCCTTCCTGAAAGCCAACTCTGATGGGTGAGAAGCTATTCCTTCCTCTTACTGTTCTCCAGAACGCTTCGTTTTACTTTTCTATTTTTTTTTTTTTACTTTCAGCTGGTGCTTCAGCACCGACATCCACCTCTGACTCCTGCCATAGCACAAGGCGTGTGCCCGAACCGGGCAGGACTCGTGCAGGAGGACGGTGCTGAGCTCCACTCGGCGTTGCAACCAATGCCCCGTGTGACTTTCAGCAAGTTGGTTCCCTATCTACAAACTGAAAGAGATGGACAGGATTATAAATGTTCTAAATTTTATTATCTTGTTGTGATAGGCTGAATAGTGGTCCCTCGGGGATGGCCTTGTCTTTATCTCTGGAGCCTGTAAATAGGTGACCTAACATGGTAAAAGGGACTTCACACATGTGACTAATAGAAGGATTTTATTAAGAAAAAAATGTTATTGATTATGCTGTTACAGTTGTCCCATATTCCCCTCTGCCCTGCACACCCCCTCACTCACACATGGGTCATACATATAAGTTCTTTGGCTTCTCCATTTCCTATACTATTCTTAAACTGCCCCTACTTTGTGCCTACCAGTTATGCTTCTTACTCCCTGTAACTTTTCCCCATTCCCCCACCCTGCCCCACCGCTGAATACCCTCCATGTGATCTCCATTTCTGTGATTCTGTTCCTGTTCTAGTTGTTTGCTTAGTCCATTTTTGTTTTTGTTTTAGGTTCAGTTGTTAAGTTGTGAGTTTGTTGTCATTTTACTGTTCATATTTTTTAATTTTCTTCTATTTCTTAGATAAGTCCCTTTAACATTTCATATAATAAAGGCTTGGTGATGATGAACTCCTTGAATTTGACCTTATCTGGGAAGCACTTTATCTGCCCTTCCATTCTAAATGAAAGCTTTGATGGACAGAGTAATCTTGGATGTAGGTCCTTGCCTTTCATGACTTCGAATACTTCTTTCCAACCATTTCTTGCCTGCAAGGTCTCTTTTGAGAAAGCAGCTGACAGTCTGATGGGAACTCCTTTGTAGGTGACAATCTCCTTTTCTCTTGCTACTTCTGGAGGAGAAGGTGAAGGCTACACAAAGTGAAATGAAGAGAAATGTACAATAAACCAACAGGAAGGGAAGGAAACAGACTCAAATCAATGATTTGAACCAGAAGGAAGAAGTAAATGTTCAACCAGAACAGAATGAAGAAACAAGAATTCAAAAAAATGAAGAGAGTCTTAGGAACCTCTAGGATAACTTTAGATGTTCAAACATCCAAACCTTAGGGGTGCCAGAAGAAGAAGAAGAAGACCAAGAAACTGAAAACTTCTTTGAAAACACAATGAAGGAGAACTTCCCCAATCTGGCAAAGGAAATAAACTTTTAGGAAGTCCAGGAAGCCCAGAGAGTCCCCAAAAAGTTGGACCTAAGTGAAGGATTTTTAAAATGGAGAGAGATTAGCTTGGATTACATGGCAGAGTCCTAAATGTAATCAAAAGGGTCCTCAGAGGGAGACGGGAGGGTCAGGAAGTGATTAGAGTGACTTGAGGAAGAGGCGATGAGCAATGGAATGCAGGCAACTATTAGAAGCTTAAAAAGGCAGGGAAACAGATCCTCCCCTTCGAACCTCCAGAAGGAACTCGTTCTGCTCACAGTATGACCTTAGCCTAGCAAGTCTGATTTTGGACTTCTGACTCCAGAATTTTAAGGTAACAACATGTGTTGTTTTAAACCACTAAGGTTGTAGTAATTTGTTATAACTGCAATAGGGAACAAATAAACTTGTATGAACTAGAAAGGTGATTCTCAAAATATGGTGCTCAGACCACTTATATGAACATCCCCTGGGCTACTTTTTAAAAATGAAGACTCCCTGGTACCCGGCCCCCTTCTCTATCTCCTGCCCCAGGAGGTGGGACCAGGACTGTGCATTTTTATAAGTTCTCCAGATGGTTTTATGAACAATAAATTTTGATAATGCTGGTTTCAGACCTATGATTTCCTGTTTTTATTTTAATTGGGTTTTCCATATAGAAAGTCTATGATTGTTATTTTGAGCTCAAACTCCTGTTTCTATTTTTACATTCTTCTGAATGAATTTTTTAAAAGTTTAATTTGGTTATTCACTCAAGATTCTGTTTTGTGTAACAGCATAATCAATAAAATATATTTTAAAAGATTGTTTTGTTTCTAAATTACATACCTTTCTTTTTTTTTTTACAAACACTGCTTTCTTTTTTTTTAATTTTTAAAGATTTTATTTATTTATCTTTAGGGGGGAAGGGAAGGAGAGAGGGAGAGAAACATCAATGTATGGTTGCGTCTTGTGGGTCCCCTGCTGGGAACTGGCCTGCAGCCCAGGCATGTGCCCTGACTGGGAATCGAACCTTGATCCTTTGGTTTGCAGGCCCACACTCAATCAACTGAGCTACACCAGCCAGGGCAATTACATACCTTTCTTCATTTTACACAATCAAGAACAAGAACCAGCCTGCCTGGGTGGCTCAGTTGGTGAAGTGTCATGTCATCCTGTACATCAAGAGGTTGCAGGTTAGATCCCTAGTCAGGGTGCAGACAGGAGGCAAGTGATTGACGTTTCTCTCTTACATCGATGTTTCCTTGCATATGATTTCACAGTACCTCCCAATGGAGTAGGTAAACCCCTTTCACCCCTCAGTGACTATTAGTTTAGCCCCATGACTCGCTTTGGCCAACAGGATGTTGGTAAACATGACACAAGCTATTTCATAGGAATTTACATAACAGGGTTTTGGCCTTTGTACCTCAGACATTTGCCAAATGTACCTCTGCACCTCATATGAAAAGCATGCTCAGAATAACTTCTGGAGCCACAAAGAGAAGCTACGAAGAGACCCAAACCCAATCCACAACTGTCCCACAGACACGTGAGAGAGAAATAAATGCCCGAGTTATATGCCACTGATATTTGGGGGCTGTTATACAGCTTTGCTGCAGCAGAAACCTGACTAACAGACCTTATGGTAACTATATTTCTCTTTCTTAAACACTGCTAATAACGACAGAGGCTTCTATCTATCTTACCTTGAAGGTCTATAATAAAATATTTGCTCTAGCTTCTTTAAACCTATTCAATCATAGCAATCTTTTTCTTCCTTGGAAGGCCAAACCTAAACTCTTACCCCAAACAAGTAAATACAAACACTCAGTTCATTTATCGTTCTGGCTTTTAAATCACCAAACCACAGCTAAAACCTAATTAGGTGTTTATCTTATTTGAAAAGTTCATTTTCAAATTTTGGAGGGTAGAAGAATGACATTATACCTGCATGTTTTGCTTGCTTTGAATTCTCAATCTCTTCCAAGGCTCCAGACCCTTTTTCCTTAGCAACACACTTTCATAATGATCTCTGGCTACTGCTTCCAGCTGCTGGTTCCTCTTAATTCTTCTGTGCTTCTCTAGTTCTCTCTGGAAAAAAAAAAAGTAAAAATGCTGAGGAAGGACAAAAGTGGCAACACAGGAGGCTCCTGAACTTCCCTTCTCCTTTGGATGCGCTAAATAGAGCAATTTCCCCTGGAAGAAATCCTGAAACTAGCTGAGTGACTTTTCTATATTGGGAAAATGAGTAAATACCCACGTTAAAACGGGCAGAAGAGGCTGAGACACATTCTTGCCATGAACTCACCCCTGGCACAGACCTATACCACAGGGAGGGAACTCCCAACTTGCAGCTTCTCCCTGAGGAGCAAAAAGCCTTTGGACTGCACATCTATAACACCATTAAAAAAAAATTCTTAGAAATAAGTTTATTTGAGTTGTACATTAACTATGTCGAAATAGTTGATGGAAATGGTATACAGCAAAGTTTCCTTTCCCATTCTTGTCCTCTAGCCAACTGGATTTCCTCTTTACTATTAGCAAGTTCCTATGTGTCTTTTTAGAAATGATTTTTTTTTTAACAGAACAAGAGCTCTGATCATTACCAGAGCTTAATTTATCTTAGAAAAATGCCCCAGGGCAGCCACCCTCCCCTTTAATGGCTATGTAATATGCCATGGAGATGCAGACATATGGATATTATATACAAGTAGAACCCCGATTTTTAAAACAACCAAAGGGATGGTCCTCAAAACACCTAGCTCTCCTAACATCAAAAGCAATGGGGCTTATGTCCATGAGACATGCAACTATGCAAAGAAACAGTTCTTGGTGGATGGGTGAGATCCCGCTGGCTATGCCCCTAGGGTTCGGCCCTAAGGGAGAACAGGTAAAAATGCCCACCTCCTAGTTTTTCCTAAAAAGGGGTTTCAACACATACTTTACAAGGGTCTGCCTGAGGGTCTGGCTTCTAATTTAGCATGTGTCTAGGAGCTAGTAGCAAACCTCTAGAAGGTTGGGGGAGCTTGTTGGCCCTTAACCTGACCTTCTTCCTTCTGCTCACTCAGATAATAAAACCAGATTGGCAGCATCTCTGGAAGAAGTGTGTGTGCACATCTGGCACGCCAGTTTTTGTGAATGACACCTGAGGGATGGGTCCCTGGATCGCTGGCTGATAGCCAAAAGAACTTACATTCATATTCCCACAGGACTATAGCAAACAAAGAAGCAATTTTTAAATAAGTGCAAGGACATCAGGACTCTGGTCAAGATAGAGGCACAGGCATACATGGCTCACCTTTTCACACAACCACATCAAAATTACAACTAAAATGTAGAATAACCATCACTCAGGAGCAACAGAAACTGAGCTGAATGGAAGTCTCACAATGACGAATTCAAGTTGAATAGAAGTCTGACGACTGCTGAATTAAAGAAACCACATCCATCCAGACTGGCAGGAGGGACACAGACCTGGAACAGGCTGGTGCCATACCCACGTGTTGTAGAAAGAAATTCAGGAGGGTATCTCAGGAGTAAGGAGTCCAGTCTCACACCAGGTCCCCCAGCCCAGGGTTCCAGTGCCAGGAAGATAAGTCCCTACAACTTCTGAATGCAAAAAGCAGTGGGGGTTGAGTCAGTGGAAGAAACTTCTAGAGCCCCAAGCAGTTCCTCTTAAAGATCCCACACATGGAGTCACCTACTCAGACTCACTCACTCTGAGCTTCAGCACTGGGATTGCATCTTGGGTTATACAGGGAAGAAGTGAAGTAACTGGCTTCAAGGTGAGCAGAGGCCATTATTCCTTTTCTAAACCCTCTGTCCACAGAATCAGCAAGCTTGTGCCATATCTGAGACTCCATCAATCTGACTAACACTGTTTGACTTGCCTTGGAGATTCCCAGAGACTCCATCCCATCTGACTTATGGATACATCCAAGCTGCTTTTCCATATGAATGACTGGCCATGGCTCATACTTCACAACTTCCTAAATTCTATCAAACAAGCAACAGCTGGCCCCAGTGAGCCCCAGGCCCAGGACTAGGAGCAGACATCTCAGATTGCCTTATAGCTCAGGGAGAGTGGTCCCAGGCAAAACACAGATGGGGGCTGACTTTGGCCTGGTCTACCTACAAAACACCAGGGCCAGAGCACGACTACCTTGCCTCTCTGCACAGCAGATCCTCCGCAGAGGGTAGAGGTTGGTTGTCAGTGGTCACAGCCAATCCTTGTAGCTGACTGGCCTGGATAAATCCCTTTAATTGATCTGCCAACAACAACCAAGTCACAACTACAAGAGGAGCGTGTACTCAGACCACACAAAGGGTGTACCTCAAGTACCCATCTTGGGTGACAGGGGAAGTTGTGCCACTGAACACAACAGGACACCTACTACATTAGGCCACACTACCAAGACACAGAGTCAAAGCAGCTCTACCCAATACATAGAAACAAACACAGGGAGGCTGCCAAAATGAGGAGACAAACAAACATGGCCCAAATGGAGGAACAGATCAAAACTCCAGAAAAAGAGCTAAATGAAACAAAGATAAGCAATCTATCAGAAGCAGAGTTAAAAACACTGGTTATAAGGATGCTCAAGGAACTTAGTGAGGATCTTAACAGCACAAAATAGATCCAGTCAGAAATGAAGGATACACTAAATAAAGTAAAGAACAATTTACAGGGAAATAACCGTAGAGTGGGTGAAGCCAAGAATCAAATCAATGATTTGGAAAATAAGGAAGTGAAAAGTAACCAATCAGAACGACAAAATGATAAAGGAACCCCCCCAAAATGAGGATAGTATAAACAGCCTCTAGGACAACTTCAAAAGGTGCAACACTTGCATCACAGGGGTGACAGAGAGAGAAGAGGAAGAGCAAGAAATTGGAAATCTATTTGAAAAAATTGTGAAAGAAAACTTCCCTAATTTTGTGAAGGAAATAGACATGAAAGTCCAGGAAGCAGAGGGAGTCCCAATTACGATGAATGCAAAGAGGCCCACTTTAAGACACATCATATTTAAAAGGCCAAAGGTTAAATATAAAGAAAGAATATTAAAAACAGCAAGATAAAAGCAGTTAGTTACCTACAAGGAAGTTCCCAGAAGACTGTCAGCTGATTTCTCAGAAACTTTGCAGGCTTAGAAGGGATTGGCAAGAAATATTCAAACTCATGAAGAACAGGGACCTACAGCCAAGATTACTCTATCCAGCAAAGCTATATTTAGAATGGAAGGGCAGATAAAGAGCTTCCCAGACAGAAAAAAATTAAAGGAATTCAGCATCACCAAGTCCTTATTATATGGAATGTTAAAGGGACTTATTTAAGAAAAAGGAGATCAAAACTATGAACAATAAAATGGCAAAAAAATGCATATCTATCAAAATTGAATCTAAAAAACAAACTAAACAAACAAAGAAGAACAGAGACAGAATCCTGGATCCAGAGAGTGTTTTGATGGTTACCAGATGGGAAGGGTGTGGGGGAATGGGTGATGAGGTGAGGGGATTAAGAAGTACAAATAGGTAGTTATAGAATAGCCATGGAAATGTAAAGTACAACATAGGAAATGGAGTAGCCAAAGAACTTATACTCATGATCCATGAACATGAACAATAGTGGAGGGATTGCCCGAGGGAGTAGGGGGTGCTTGGTAGAGGGTTCAAACAGGGAAAACTTGGGATAACTGTATTAGCATAATCAATAAAATATAATTTAAAAATGAATGTAGGATCAACAGTCCCCCTTCCATTCCATCCCCCCAACAGTGGCTACACAACTGGGCTCAGTGCAGAGGGAAAAGCCTAAAACATGCATCTCCTGGTTTCCCCCTGGAAGGGGCTTACCTATATACATTCCCAGCTAGTGCCTGAGGGTACGGCCTCAAATCAGCTTGCCTCCAATTATTAATATCTTGGCATATATTCAACTATTGGGAGTTACTAAGAACAAAAATAGCAGCTTGGGTGATCATAAAGTCTTGAGATACAACCAGGAGCCTGGGCCGAGTTCACTGATGTCCTACACATGACCATTTTGTCAAGACTATGAGAGGTTGCTGTTATAGCTAATGCACAGAAACCAACAGAGTCAAGAAAAAACAAAGAAATGAGGAATGTGTTCCAAACAAAAGCACAAGACAAGTCTCAGAAACCAATCTTAATGAAATGGAGGTAGTGATTGATGCATTGAAGAGTTCAAAATAATGGTCATGAAGATGCTTACTGAGGTTAGGAGAGCAAAGCATGAAGAAAGAATTTTAGCAAAGGGATAGAAAATATTTAAAAAGTACCGATCATAAGCATATAGCTGAAGAATATAATAATTGCACTGAAAATTTCATAGGGGTTCAACAAAAGACTAGATCAAGCAGAAGAAAGGATCAGCTAACTTGTAGACAGAGTAGTGAAACATCCAATCAGAGGAACAAGAAAAAAACAGAACGCAAAAGAGTGGGCATGTGACACCATCATCAGTGGGACAGATGTATGCATTATAGGGGTTGCAGAGGAAGAAGAGAGAAAGGAGAAGAGAGAAAGGAGAAGAGAGCTATTCAAAGAAATACTGGCTGAAAACTTTCCTAACCTGGGGAAGGAAACAGATATCCAGATCCAGGAAGCCTGAGGAATACCAAAAAAGATTAACTAAAAAGACATACACCAAGACACATTACACAATTGAAATGTCAAAAGTTAAAGACAAGGACAAAATCTTAAAAGCAGAAAGAGAAAAGCAATTTGTTACATAAAGGGCACTCCCATGAGACTATAAATAGATTTTTCAGCAGAAACCTTGAAGGCCAGAGGGAGTGGAATGATACAGTCAAAGTATTGGAAAAAAAAATAGTGCCAACTAGGAATGATCTACCCAGCAAAGGCACCCTTCAAAAGTGAAGAATGAACAGAATTTCCCAGACAAACAAAAGCTGAAAGAGTTCATCACCATTAGACTAGCTTTACAAGAAATGATAAAAGGACTTCAAGATGAAACAAAGAATGCTAATTAGTAATATGAAAACATTTGAAAGCATAAAGCTCTCTGGTAAAGGGAAACATATAGTTAAATTCAAAACACTCTAATGTAA